GAAGCAGCCTGAAATCGCGCTCCACGGAGCAACCTACTCAAGTGTGTGAACTTCAAAAACTCAAGGACTGACAGCGCTTCTGTCCGTTTTCCTGTTCCTTATCAACATAAGGATTCCTATCGATCTCACGAGACACCAAACGGGAGATCTCACATTCATGAGCCGAATTTGACACCAACGCAAGCCTCATCTCACCTACGTCTCTCCAGGTGTTCAGGCTACTATCGAAAAATTATGGGCACCGCTTTTGTAACCCCTTCTCTTTCAAGACGAGGGGGTGAAGCGCGCAAGACACTGAGGGCAAAAAGAAAGTATACTCAGTTTGAACCCGAGCGCTGACAATTGAGCTCGCCACTGGCGTGGGTACTAATAATGTGAGGTCTTGCTGATGTGGTTGAAATCTTGTCCGGCGCGAACTTTCGTTCAAATCAAATTAATTTGCTGGAGAAGGTTGCATATCAGCCTGCAGGTTTTCGCACTTCCCCCCCACACTCTCACATAGTGCCGAAAGAAGAAAACGTACCTGCGATAAAAGGTGCTCTTCTGAAGCTGTTTGAACTAGCTGTCTGGTGGGCTCCTGCTCTGCTTCATTGTGACTTAACCATGTTACGGTTGGTTGTAAGCGGATTCATTACCTTGATCGTAACTTTCTTTTTTCCAGCATCACCCTAATCACAACCAATGCAGCATTTTGCTTTGATCGCAGCAAGAAAGGTCTAGATGTCCTGGCTGAGACATTCCTGTCCTCAGTGGGCTTTCAAGTGTGTGCGTCAAGCATTTGCAAGTAGGGTGCGTGTGAAGCTTTGACCATGGTAGCCGAGAATACCACTTTATGCTTTTCAGTGCTGTGCCAGGACATTTGAGATGAATAGTGACTGGGTGAACCGTTTGCAAGGAACCAGAGGCCGCAGTTTGCGTGGTGCCCGCGTCGCTTAACGAACCGGTGTAGAACAGGACATACGGGGAGCACTTCCCATTTTTAATGTCAGTAAAGAAACGCTAGTGTCAAGGAAGTCATAAGAAGGGATGAAACAAGGAAGGCTAGACACTTGGTATATATATATATATTTATATACTGTATTGTTTTTCTGCATGTTGACCTCTACGTGCTGGAGTCCTGCAAGTTACGCCAGGCTTCCCGGGCACCACCCTCAGACCTGCGCTGGAGGAGCTGGGCAAACACATTTTGACTGGGAAGTTACAAAAAGACTACCTAAGACATCCATGACACATCTAGTGATAGCTCAGTGACTATAGTGTTTGTATAAAGGTCAAAAAGGGCTTCACTACGTACCGGGAATTTTAAGGTGGGTTTCTCGGACTTGCTTTGTATTCCAAGAATCCAGTGTCCCTTCGGCTGTCGTGGGTTTGACAGCTTGATATGTGGTTTGGGCTTGCGCCCCCGCTCAGTTTTTGCACCCATTCCTTGGCTTCAGTTCCTTTGCCGGGCTTTGCCCCATTCCTTGCTTCACCAAACAAAATTGTTTGATTCAAGTATTGTACAGACTAGTTCTGTACGCCAGTGCTGTACATCAGTTTCTATGCGACTGCCACGCAAGAGGTCGTTCATGTTGTAATTCGTTTCAAAGAAAATTGAGGTTACAAAAAGGATGGGTTAATACTGACATGTTGTTTTCTACCATTCCTACCATTCTCAAGCTTCATGATCTTGTATGTTGGTTCTGGCACTTCATTATTTTGGCCAGGGCTTGGCTGGGCAGTTCCTCCGTTGTTTGGGTGCTTGATTCTGGATGTTTGTTTGCTTCCGCTCTGGACTTACTTCTCTATCTATCACACACATCTGGCCAGGTCACCAGGTCTGCCAAGGAAGGAAAGGAAGTCAGAGCCAGATTTTAAGGAATGTTTTCACACACCTGGTCATTTCATCAATCAGGTATCTGTATCTTCACTCACAGGCTTAAACATGTACTTGGGCGTGTAGAGGTACCCTGTTCACAGGCAGTGTTCTTGCACATATGATCCATGGGTGGTCTTTGATTTTCACATCAAGAGGAGCTGAGGAATTTGTAGCTTAGGTTTTGCCGTGCCAGGAGTTTTTTCTTTAGGAAAGACTTGAAGTGTTTTTCCCCAGATAGCGAAGCTATGGGGTTCTTACTTCAAAAAACAATGAGTTGCCCGGTGCTGGTGCTGGTGCTGTGAGCTGGCTGTGCCTGCGGTGGAGACAGGTTACTGGTGCTGGTGCTGGTGTTGGTGCTGTGAGCTGGCTGTGCACGTGGTGGAGACAGGTTGCTGGTGCTGGTGCTGGTGCAGGGTGCTGGTGCTGTGCACGTGGTGAAGGCAGGTTGCTGGTGCTGGTGCTGGTGCTGGGTGCCGGTGCTGGTGCTGTGAGCTGGGTGTGCACGTGGTGGAGACAGGTTGCTGGTGCTGGTCCGGGTGCCGGTGCTGGTGGTGGTGCTGTGAGCTGGCTGTGCACGTGGGGTGTGGACAGGTTGCTGGGCTGTGCACGTGGTGGAGACAGGTTGCTGGTGCTGGTGCCGGGCGTCGGTGCTGGTGCCCGCTTCTGACAGTGAAGTGATAACAACCGCCGCTTCTGACAGTGAAGGGTAACAAACCGCCGCTTGCAGCAGTGAAGGGTGACCAAGCGCCGCTTCTGACAATAAAGTGCCAGCAGTCATGGGCCGCATGAACTTATGCACGCAACATCATACGGTGTTGTCGCTTGAGCGTTTTTTGTCTATTAGCGCTGTGGGGTAGTTACACTCTTCAGGTTCTGTTTTGGCCGGCAGCTGTGTCAAGGGCTGTACTGTTTGCGCGCGCACTTTTCTACGTATAATGTTCTATGCGCAGCGTCAGGCTCTCAACCGACCATTGTTCCAGCATGTTTCAGCATGCAACACACGCAATAGTCGTGCTGGATACTGCTTGGCCTTGGGCGAGTGAAGCCTACGGGCTTTGCCGTTTGTGCGCATACTTTTGTGCACATAAACTTTTACGCGCAAGGTCATACGGCCTTATCGTCCTGCAGATCGTTGCTTCAAGCATGCTACAGAGTCAATAGTGGCACTGGATACTGCTTGGCCTTGGGCCAATGACACTTACGGGCTTTGCTGCTTGCACGCATACTTTTGTGTGCATAAACATATATGCACAAGATCATACGTTGTTATTCCCCTTGTGCAGGCTGCGCACATTCTTGCTCCAGCCAGTCGCATGTCAACAGGTCGTGGGATTCTGCCTAGCTATATGGGTCTATGCTGGTGTAATTTAGAACTTACACAGTGCAATGTTTGTTTAAGTTCAGACCGCATCGTTTTGGGTTGAGATTCTGAGACAAGTGTGTGTTTTCATTCAAGCCATGTAGTGCTCCCGCTGATCATTGGCTTTTGTACAAAAAGTAGGGTTCAACTGAGAACTTATTGTAGCTTTAAATGAAAGAAAATACAACATCTCACCAGTTGTTTGCAAATGGCACCATCGAGACAAAGGAACAATTGCAGTTGAAGCATTCCGGGATATTCACCCACATTGGCAGGCTTCACCCAGGAAGGCCATATGTTTCACATGTGACCCCTAGCAAATCACCATTGAACAACCATTCAGTCTCCATTGCATGCCATTGAAACAACTTATGTGTATATATATACATAAATAATATCTTATAGAATGTAAAGAAGAGTCCTTCAGACCTAGCCAAACTAGCGGTCCTTTGATTTTAATGCAACGCCAGACCACCGGACCACCAGTGTTTTGATAAGAAACTTGGCTCAAGGACTCAAGGACTATGAAAGACTTTTGAGCCAGTTGTACCACTGGTGTACTTGTTGTACCAGTTGTCAGTGCTGTGTACCATTTTGGTGACATTCTGCGGGCCCGTGGCTGTGACTAGAGCCGGAATGAGCGGCCAAGGTGTCAAACTGAGTCAAACTCAGTCCGGCTGAAGCTCAATTCAAGCTCTTCTCTCATGTCCGAGAGTGCATCCCATATGGGCCATGCCATGTAAAGCTCCTTCCCCCAACCACGGTCCCTGCATCGTCAGACTTACAGCGTCAGTAATGCACGTGTAGCCTGCCATTTGTGCCATCATCACAGCACCAAACCCTGGCTTGGTCTTTGGGCCGCTTTGATGTTTCCTATTCGCCTGCCCAGACTCCGTCTTCAAAGTCAGTTGCAGACTCCGGCAACGTTCTCGGATGAACGGACCTTTTTTTTCTTCCTTCACGTGAGAGACAATGCAGGTGATTGTGCAGCCCAGCAGGAAATGAGAAGAATTGAGAAGAACCCTTGACAGATGCCCGGGGATTTCGTTATCGTGGCTGCTGAAGACAGTGTTCATTTGGAGACATGAAAGGAAACTGCCCATGTCCAAGGATGGGTGACACATCAGAAGGGTAGTGCTGGGTGTGGGTCAACTAGTGAATGCACTACCACACTCTCTTAGCTGAGACCGCCCCACACGAGCGGCTCACTCTGTCGTAGGAACCAGAAAGTGAAGGTTAATTTAACGTTCATTTTTTGCACGATAAATTGCAAATAATGATGGAAAAGAGCAAGACAGCGGTGGTGTTCATGCCAAAGGTACCCAAGCATGCAACAGGAAACATCCAGCAAGCCCCACATTGTTCACCGGTGCATGCTGCTTTTTGCTGATAGGAATTATTGGGGTTCCAGTGCAGCTTTAGCTAGTGGTTCTCACCAAGTTGCTTTGGTGAACACGTTCTGGATTTTCCTTGTTTCCTTGGCTATTTCTTGTGGTTGTGCACGGCTGCGGCTAGTCAGTAGTCAGTCGCGTGAAGGATATTTGCATCCTTATGATGACCTCGGGCACGACTGGCCGGCCAAAGACTATTGCTGGCAGCCATGGACTCAAGTGCAATAGGATTAGCCAAGGCATAGAGTAAGAGCCTAGTTGAAGAACAAGAACGGAGAGCCGCCTTTGCCCTGAACGATTTGCGGATCTGAGGTCACTTCTTCATGCATGTTGGAGCTTTGGCCAAGGCAAGGACCAAAACCTAGAGTGGTCTGTTTGAAAGAGCACGCACAGCTTCGGTTGACCCTACATGGTCCATTTGCCGAACAGGCTGGGGCGTTCCCTTACCAGAGCAATGACTGCAGAGAGGCATGCGCAAAGAGCCACGTGCAGAACAAAGGCTTGTTCAATGAATGCTGCTTTGACCTTTGGTCTTTGGTGTCAAAGCAAGAGCAGGATGATTCCTCCATGTTGAAGCTTTCTATGTGGGTTGTTGCAGAGCCTCACGAACAGGGTTTTGGATTCAAGTAGGTTCTACCGAACCTCTTGAAGCTTAGGGCAGAGATGGCTTTTTGACACGACGTTTTTCCTCTTGCCAATCTACTCTAGGGTTTGCGAACTAGCTCACACTTCACTGCCAGGCCTACAATGTCATGTTTGTGTGGGAGGTCTTGAGGCTTGTGACAGTTTGCAGAATATAAAACAAAAAAAACCTTCTCAGTTTTGGCTAGGAAGTTGATCTAGGAAGCCTGGGAAGCATCAGACCTTTTTCACACCAAGAGATTCTACTACGCTTTGCAAACACTTTGCTATCCAACCATCAATAAAGCTACATTTTTCCAACTTCCTTTGCAAAGAGTTCAGAGGTATTCTTGATGCCCTGCATTGGGGCCAGGTCTCCACTGCTTGGCCACACGGCGTTCATCTTGCCAGATGAGGAGAGGGACAAGAGGAATTGAACACGGTTCATGTTTTCTTGTTGGGTTGTAACTAGCAACGCAACATACAGCAGTTTACTTTTCAAACTTTCGTTGTCTGAACATGAAAGCAACCAGAACCTGCTGCAGCAGAAGTGCGGAAAGGCAACCTTGGATCCTCATATTTTCGTGAAGTTCCTGGAGAAGCACCAATGCAGCCGTACCTTGACGACACCTTCACTTTTGGTCTGGAATCTCAGGAGATGTGATTTGTCAATGTCGCATGCAAGTGTGAAGAAACCTAAGAAACCTGCAGAATTTGGTTCTGCCTGCAAGTGAGTTAGTCGGCTCGGTTTCCCTCAAAGTTTCCTGATAAATTTTGACATTCTTATTCTTTCAAGAAGAGGGGTAATGGGGCCTGAGTTTTTGCAGTGTTTCAATGAGAGCCACAAATCTACATCTGAAGCATCTCCAATAGCATCTGATCAAAAAAGACATTTCAGTTGCAATGATATTTGATCAAACCAAACGAAAAAACAACAAAGAAACTTCCAAAGACAACAAACAACACTACAGTAGCTTCTGCTCAGAACCTTTCCATGGGTCCAAACTTTTCTTTTTCTCGAATACGTAGCGAAGTGTGTTCGCAACCATTTGCAACCGTCCGAATGGGAAGAAAAATGCCCTCGAGGGCGGCGTTTCGTGAGGTGCGTGATTTTTGTCTCTTTCCTTCGGGATGGGCATTTGCAGAGTAACCTACTAACATTTTTCTGGAAGCATAAAGACTTTTGCAAAGCTGAAGGCGTTACTCTTGAACATCACATGAAGGAGCGAACCTATGAGACATTTTTTTTTGTTGTATACTTTTCGTTTTGTTTTTGTTTTTTTTGCCTATTTTTCTGAATATGGAGGAGTAGGCACCTTTATAACACAACATTATCCAAATGATTGTATTTAAATCTTGAGAACTGATTTTGCTTCAATGCGGGCAGGTTTTTTTTTTGTTGGAAGCAGTTGAGTTTGAAGCACGTCCGTACATGTTTTTGCTTGAAAATTTGTCTCCGTGCCAAAATGGCATTCACCAAGGCAAAATTGCATTGAAGATTGACAAATGCAACCGACAAAATGTCTCACATGTTGCATGCCGCATTACATGAAAAACTTCTGCAGACAAGAATACTGAACAACAATACCTTTGCAACGATGAAGGCCTTACTTGAAGAACACTTTTTGCAAGAAAGAAGACTCTTTGCAAAGCTGAGGGCTTTAAGAAACATATTCACACAACCCAGGAGTAAATTGATTTTCAAAAACACTTCTCTTCTACAATGTCCCTCTAGATCTGTCAGGCTGTAGAAAAGGCACAAACTCATACATGGACTTTGTCCTTAACACGTCAAGAAATGCACAGAGACATAGTGACACCACGGAAAAAAACGCAGGGACCACGGCGTCCCATGAAGCAATCCTGCATTTTCTTCTACAGTAATTCTAATGCATCTTGCGCCTGGAGTCCTGGAGCCAGCATTGTTTGTAAGACAGAGATTCATTCTGGTTGTGATCGGCGTGTCCTTGAGCTGGAAGAAAAGTGAGATTGAGTAACTTTAAACATTGCAATTAGGTTGGAGGCCATCGCTACTAGGGTGGAGGCCATCGCTAGTCGGTTGGAGGCCATCGCTATTAGGTTGGAGGCCATTGCTACTAGGGTGGAGGCCATTGCTATTAGGTTGGAAGCCATTGCTAGTAGGTTGGACGCCATCGCTACTAGGGCATCGCTAGTCGGTTGGAGGCCATCGCTATTAGGTGGGAGACCATTGCTACTAGGGTGGAGGCCATTGCTATTAGGTTGGAAGCCATCGCTATTAGGTTGGAGGCCATCGCTACTAGGGTGGAGGCCATGGCTAGTCGGTTGGGGGCCATCGCTATTAGGTTGGAGGCCATTGTTACTAGGGTGGAGGCCATTGCATTACTTACAACAAGCCCTTCACCAGACTGAGGCCACCATCATGGATTCTTGCCACAAGGACGCAGAAGGGGTTTTGCTTCCAAGAAACGCTGAGGGACATAAAGACGTTGACAATGTGCTTGCAGGAGTTGTCCAAACTTCATCACATGTGCGCTTGGTTGATGTGTGGTGAGGCGAGGGCTATTCTTTTGTGACTCTTGACCTTTGGAACAGAACCTGAGCATTTGTTTCTACTTTGGCTGCGATCTTCCGCTGCCTAAATAGGCATTTTCTGCTTTAAGAATTCATTTCGAGATTTGAAGATGCTTCGCAATATTCATTTCTTTGTATGAGTGCCAGGTCCTGCCAATGCAAGTAGTGCCCTTCTCAGAAAAGAGTGTTTGCTGCATGAGTCAAAGGAGTATCAAAGCGACAGCTGGGGATTGAACTTGTCAGTTCATCGGACATTCAACAGAGGCCAATCCCAAGCAATTTCAATGGAGAAGAGAGGGCTAAACATGTTGATGATGGCGGCAACACATTTCGTTGGAAGCAAGTCAAGCAGCAAAATTTGCTAACGAAGCAGACATCGACTCCCTAGATCAGATCACTAGGAATCACCGCAGAGTATGCATGGATTGCCACATCCTGAACAGTAGCAATGCTAGAACTAGCTCGAAAAGGCCCCACAAGGATGTGATACAGCGAATCTTTCGTTTCCGCCATCTCCCAGGCAATCCTTCTTGGCTTTGATACTAGATACTAGAAATCTATAGTATTTGATATATTGTTTGTGCTATGGAAGTTCTCTTGAACTTTGTGGAAGTTCTCTTGAACTTTGTTCTAAGAGGCTTCCTGCTTGGGACGGTTGTGGATGAAAGGCAACATTTATGCTGCAGCTGAGCCAATGCAGAGAATCTCCTCCAAAGATGATCAACCTGATTTGCCATGGGCTAGATAGCATGGCATGAAACTAGTATAAACGCGCCCCATGCTGTTCCAGCTTTCCAAGCAAGCCCGCTTGGACTCCATGTGAAAGGCCCAACAATCGACCTAAGTTGACTTTGAGGTTCGCAGCTTCAGGTCAATACTTCCAAGGTGGGGTACAATGGGAGAGATGGGTTGGACGGAAGGGAAGTGATCCTCCTGTTGAGCAGACAAACGGAGTCCGAAGCCTTCTCGATTTGTCACATCAACGGAGCAAGGGAGAACAAACACTGTTAATGTATATACTTCTTGCCTAGCCTAGCAATCAGAAATCTTCCTTTTTGTTTCCATTGATGCCTGCTCCAAGCTGCTAGCTGTCGCCCACTGATTTGGTGCTCACCCCGCGACTTCAATGCTTTGGACTTCCTCACATGAGCTATGCAGAATGTGCGGACTGCTTGGGGGAGAGCTTCCAGAATCGCAGGGCCCATCCTTCGGCACGGTGACAGTGCAAGGTGCAGGCTCATCAATGATTATTCCACCTGGGAAAGCGGAGACATTGGTCTGGTCTCCAAGGGGCAGGGCAAGGGTTTGAGGACGAGGACGTTGTTCATCAGATATGATATAAGAAATTTGGCGAACTACCTTTACTTTCTGGTATGCAGTCCATCCATGCCATGCCACGCGCAGCACTTGTGTGAGCCAACTGTGATACTTTGAGGTTATGCCCAGGTGGCTCCCGCAGGGCGCTACGAGCCCAGTCAGGCAGACATCGATAATTTTCAGCTATAAGTCATTTGTCTATCATCAAGACTATTTTTCAACAAGAACAAGTACAGTACAAAGAAACTCGAATTGGCCCCTTCTGCAGTGCAGAACTGAAATCATTTGATGAGGAATCTTGAATCATACTATTTAGTGGGGGGGCTCCTTCGCCAGGTATTCGCCGCGGCCTGCCAAGAGATTGCAGTGGGCATCACTGCTTGCATTGTTGATCCAGACACAAAGACACAACCTCAGACATAGTTTGGAGCGTGCAAAAATAGAGAATTGTTCAGACAATCGCTTTCTTTGTGTTTTGTTAGCTCCTAAAATGATACGGGGTTTTGCAGTGCTGCAAGGCCTTTTAATTGTTTTGATTGTACACGGATTTGACACAGACAATACCGACTCAATAGCGAATATAGTGAATAGGGAAACTCTTATTTTGAACTGGCTTTCACTTTGAGGAAGCTGGTTCCACAAGGGCTTGTTGGTGAGCTCTATGTTGGAGGGGCGGGGTGCTGAAAGAGAGTACTGTACCCAGAATCCCAGAATGTAGATTGAGCTTATTCGAGGAGCAGCAGAATATCTATTTGGTGCTACGATCTTTAAACAAACGTTAGTGGGGCCAGAGAGATAAATATATTTGAATGAGATATATATTTTATTCCTTTTTGTAAAGCTAGCTCGGCCACGCTGATACATTGCTGGTGTTTCCTGCTTGGGTGATTTGTGACTTTATGGATCCTATGATATCCTGTGTCTCTCTGCCAGCCTGTTCTGTCCTACGGCTACTACGGGCACAGCGACATCACTGCTGCCAAATTCTCCGATGGCGTGAATTCAGAAATGGTGCTGGTCCTGAGTTCAATCTTCACTCGATTCCGATAGCCTTCGTTCTTTTGTTTTGCAGCGAACAACAGTTCTTGCCAGTCAATCAGATTCGTAAGAAATTGATTCCGTTGCACTGGAGAGACACGCTGATCATATGGTTGAGTATGCTTTCGTATAGTTTCCAGGTGGCTCTGTCGCAAGGAAAGTGGAAATGGTACAAGACAGGACAGGATCTCCCAGTGTGAGGGATGGAGAGAGAGAGAGAGAGACAGACAGACAGACCGACGGACAGACAGACAGACTGACTGACTGACTGACTGCCTGCCTGCCTGACTGACTGACTGACTGACTGACTGACTGACCGACCGTGTGTGACTGACTGACCGACAGGCAGACAGATAGCCAGACAGAGACGAACAGACGGACGGACAGACCTCTTTTCCTCTTGTGATAGGCCAATGGCAACGCCAGGGACTTAACGATACAACTAGATCAGTGTGCCAAGCAGCTTCAACTGCCTCGGAATGAAAATCCGGGCCCATTGGCGCATCGGATCGGAAGGAGGCAATGAGAGCTTAGGTCGCATCACAAGAACCAGTCAGGCAGCGATGCCACACATTCAGACCCGGGTTGAGCTAAGTTGAAAAGGATAGACATGGACAGACGAGGGACGGACAGACGGACAGCGCACGGACGGACTGCCGATAGACCGACAGAGAGACAGAGGTAGAGACAGAGACAGAGACGGACACAGAGAGAGAGAGAGAGAGAGACAGAGACAGAGAGAGAGCGAGAGAGAGAGAGAGAGAGAGAGAAAAAAAGAAAGAAAGAAAGAAAGAAAGAAAGAAAGACAGACAGAAAGAAAGAAAGAAAGAAAGAAAGAAATAAAGAAAGAAATAAAGAACGAAATGAATAAATAAAGAAATATATAAAGAAATAAAGAAAGACATAAAGAAAGAAAGACAACAAGAAAATAAGAAAAAGAGAAACAAAGAAAGAAAGAAGGAACCAATGAGATACAGAAACAGAGACCGAGAGAGAGAGAGAGAGAGAGAGGGAAGGGGGGCTGTAAAGAGGTATCGGAGAAATGAAGAGAAGAGGGGAGAAGAGAGAGTTCAAACTTATCTATATATAGATATAAGTGCATGAATATAGCAGTCTATGATAGAGAGGGAGGGAGGAACAAAAAGGAGCGAAATTCCTTTGTCCGCAGGAGATGCTGCCCGATTTGTCAGCCAGCCGCCTGTCTTGGAAATCCGTGGGCGAATCGACAGCACCGTGAAGATCCGTGGATTCAAGGCGGCTTCCAACTACTCTTGCTACCACGAGTGAGGGGAAGGAGCATTTGCCAAGGCTTTTGACACATTGGTGAAGCCACAGCCGTTTGACAATTTAGCTATTACCTAGATTGAGGGTCCAGAACTTGGGATAGAAAGGCCTCCTTGACAGGTTTGAGAACGGTTCTGGTCAGGTTGGTCTTCCAGTGGTGGAGGGCGCCATCGCGCAGATCTCGGGCGTGGCTTTATGTGCAGTTGTGCCGGTCTATGAGGCAGGTCACAGGATGGCGAGAGGAGTTATATACACAGTTTGCCTTGCAACAGAGGGTTGAAGAAGATGCAAGGCACAATCCACCTAATTACACCTTTTGTTCCTTCATGTCACTGCCTCTATTGATGAGTCACAAGATAGCCGCACATGTTGAGGATTCTCATGACACCACGAAAACAAAGAAAGGAGGGGAGAGCGACAGAGAGGGAGCATTTTAATAATCCGTGCTATTGTTTGATACTTTTGTTTTCATGTTTGCTTTCTTGTAGATGTAGCTTTGTGCAGACACCAACATCCGTCGACAGCCTCCTCTGCTTCGTGAAGCCCCAGGCGAGTACGTTCTTCTCCTCGTTTGATCATTCTTTATACTTTATTTATGTTTTGTTTGTGCATGTCCACTTTGCGAATAGAAGCCCGTCAAAGTCTGTAATGAGCATGTCCCTCAAAAGCCCGTTCTCGACACATGGCTACTTGATATGTGAGTGATGGTTCTCAGCATGTATTCCTCTGTATATAGTCTTTACAGTCTTGGAACATGGGCAGTGTTCGTGCAACGTGCTCCGACAAGAGCTTGGCTTTAACCATATTTTTTGGGAGGATCATTGGATGGGGGCCAGGCCTTTCTCGTCACTGTTGTAGAGACCACCTTGACCTTGACCAAGCTTTTGATACATATACTCTACACGGCCAAAACGCAGGATGAAGTGCTTTATGAGGATTTGATACAGCGCATCAAGAAGGAGGCAGGGCTGATAGACACAAGAGGCGGACGCGAACCTGTTTCAGGAAGTGGAAGATGAAGCACGATGATCTGGAAGCACGTCTCCCAAAATGAAATTAATGACGTGAACGTCTCCCAAACCACTATTGTACCGGCCAGGCGGTGAAAGAAATTCCACGTTGGATGATGTGAGGTGCTCAGTTTTGGTAGCTTCTCGATGGGATTCGCTTGACATTTTGTAAGTGCAGTTCCCTGCACAGGATGTTTTCAATGAAACTAAAACTGTTTGGGTAGGCTACACCAACAGCTCAAGAGAAAGTTCGAAGAGGTCAATCTTTGGTGAAGTTCCAGTTTGATTCATTCTTTTCCGCATTTGCCTACTCCTATTGTGCCGTTGCCTCTTGCCGAAGTATCCAGCAATTCCTCCTTCGTGTCAACCTTACTTCTTTTCCTTGTTCTGCTTCTTTTTTGATTTCAAATCATGGGTGGGGTCAGCAAAAGCCGTTCAACCGAAAGCGTAGCAGAGCCCCTAGCGAGCAACTCGACTTGCTTCTACTGCAAATATCAGCAGCAGGTCATCAACTCTGGAAAAAGCACAAGAAATGGCAGCAAAAGGACCTCTTAGAAGCATTCTTCCTTTTCGATGCCACGCACCATGGCCAAGGCCCAGCTACTTTCGGCCTTTACCAAGCGATTGCTTTATGGGCGGCGAATCTCGGAAGCTCAACCGAAGGAGGCAACGAGAACACCAAAGCATCCTCCATCTTGCACGTCCAACATGTCGCCTTTTTGTATTTTCAGAGGGCTTGGGAAAGGCCTTTTCATGTCTGAGAAAGAACTTGTGAGACACCTTGCCAGGTTGGCAGAGATGGCTGACTTAAAGACACTCAAGGCCACATGGGTTGATGGCTGGAAGAATTGGACATTGGAAACCCTTGTGCAGATGAGAAGCAAAGTGTAGGATGTTGCTACACTTGAACATGAACGAACAGAGAGTTTGATTTTGGACTTTGTTCTTAGTTTTTACTTTTTCTATGTTCATTTTTTCAATCCAGCTGTGCAATAAGCCGTGCAAAACTCTGGTGACTGGACTTCGATTTGCTCGGTAGACAAACGACTCGGGGCGTGCAGGAAGCACAACAAGCTGCCCAGCCGATACTCCCCCGACAGCCCAGTTTGTTGGTGTGGGAGCCTAGCGAAGCCGGACGTAAGTTTCATTCAACCAGTACACCATCAAAGGTTGAGACTTCTTGTCTGGGTGAAAGCGATCGGATCTGATGGTCTTTAGAAAGCAAGGTTTTTGACTCATTTGACTCTTCTTTCTTCATTTCTTTGCACACATTCGGTCGGAGCAAAGCGAGACACAACACGGTCGCACACCGGACTTTTCCGGGTCGCAGCTACTGCGAGACTTGTCGCCTTACCGGGCATTACCCGATCTGCAAAACCTCAGGTTACTCCAACTACCCAATCTGATCGCGTGAGACTGATCACAACAAATCAGACAGATCACACACCATCACCAGAGATAAGTGATGCCTACGCGACAGTACGCGTTGTGATTACTGGCTGCAACAAAAACTGCAGCTTCTAATGCTTGTCCAAGAGCTAAGCAGCTAGATATGAGCATAAGCTTCGCCGTGAGCCACATTCCAAAATGGAGCAATTCCACAATGGGCACAGACCAATGACGACTCCCAATATCCGGACATGTCAAGTCACATCAAATCAGGCCCAAGCGCGTAAAAGGCAGTGTTTCTGACACGGCATTGCGTCCCAAAGCCTCTTCATGAAAGAATCTTGTTCCGCGCACACATGGCACAATGACACATACACACACACATATACACAGAGTGACAACACCAGACATAACCACAACACGCAACACGTGACCATACACAAGGGCAAACACGACAGCAGGCAACAGACAAATATAGTGATAACACCAGTTGTATTGTCACACCAAAAATCCTACATAGAGTTTATAAGTGTCTGTTTAATTTGTTGGTTCAGGGTATTTTGCAATTCCTTCTCGCAAACATTTCTACAAGAATTGTGCTGAGATTTGGTCAAGCACACACACAGCACTTTCCAGCCGCTCACAGTAGCAGAAACGTAGAGAAGGCAGGGCAGTATAAGTCTCAGCCTTCGATCATTGTTGTTTTTGTCATCGGGCGGTTTATATTTCACATGTTTTCACATGCAGGGTTTGTTGCTGGTCCAAGCTTTAAGTCATGACGCTCCTTGCAATTTTGTAGAAGCAGCCACGAGATTATGTTTGTAACGCAGGCAATTCCGTTCGAAAAATAGAAGGTGTTTCAAGGGTCGTAAACACAAATTACACGGTGCTTAAAATTTAAAAAAAATTGCACTGACAAACATTTTAAGAAGGCAGTCTCTGCCTCCAGGAGGAGACTGGCGTGCGCGGTGTGGTGAAGTCCGTGTGGGCGAAGGTGGCCCGCGCTTAATTTTTTGAGAGGGTTTTCTTTTTGGCATTTCTGCGTTGCTCGGTTCTTCTTGTTTACACATATTTGACCAAGTAAACTGCAGGAACCAGCATTGGACCCGCATTGGATGGAACACCTGAGCTGACTCCCGTGTCACTTTACTGATCGGCCTGAGCGGTGCACCTGTTTAAGCCTAGGGTATTTCTTGATAAACACAGCTGCGGGTACTTGCAGGTGCTGAGCCTGTCCCTAGACATGGTCGATCCAGAGGACAGGCATTGATTGAGTCAGTTCTATTGCACCAAACAGGGTGCAATGGAAACACGAAGAAGAAAAAAACAGAAGAAGAAAAACTACATAGTAAACATAAGAAGAAAAAAGGAAAAGGAAAAGGAAGAGGAAGAGGAAGCGGACGAGGAAGAGGAGGAGGAGGCCGAGGAGGAGGACGAGGAAGAGGACGAGGAAGAGGACGAGGAAGAGGACGAGGA